AGAGAAGGAGAAAGAGAGAGACAGAGAGAGAGAGGAAGTGAAAAAGTAAGCCACCAGGTCTGAGACTCGAACCGTGGTCGACAATGTGGGAGTCCAGCGCCTTTACCACCACGCCACTTGCCAGTCCCATTGTCTTTTAACCTATCAAAATACAGAATGCAGGTACATTTTAAAGTATGCTTGTAATTATTTTAAAGTATTATAGTAATTACTATGAAAGTATAATGTTTGCTGTTTCTACTTTTAAAAATAGAATAAATGAATCTATGATGTTATTGTGAATACATTAAATAGGTCGCTTTTATAATTGTGCCCACTCCCATCCTGGTGTTAAATTACTCCCAGTTAAAAAAAAAGATTTTCGGGAACCAGCAGTTAGTGTAATGATGAAAGTATAATGTTTGCTGTTTCTACTTTTAAAAATAGAATAAATGAATCTATGATGTTATTGTGAATACATTAAATAGGTCGCTTTTATAATTGTGCCCACTCCCATCCTGGTGTTAAATTACTCCCAGTTAAAAAAAAAGATTTTCGGGAACCAGCAGTTAGTGTAATGGTTATGTCGCTGGACTCCCATGTAGTCGACCGCGGTTTGTTCTTTTATTTTTTCCTAACTCCAGTAATGCTTAGAAATCTGTGTAGTTTGCACAATTTTCTCTATGTCCCAACTCTACACAACTGACCATAATATTTCATTTCCGAAAGACCTAGTTTTCAATAAAAATACAAGTAAGTACAAAAATGATGCTAAGCATAACATGTGATGGATTTTTTCCATTCCCATAATCTTTATTCTTTGGTTTGGGCAGTTCTTCTTTCCTAGTCTTAACTAGAGAGTTATATAACTACATTTTCCCTTCTAGCAAGATTCTTGCTCCAGGGTTCTTCCTATAGAGACATTTTATAGTTATCATGATGCATTTCTATAACATAAACACACAAAAGCATGAACATAAATGATTTATTAGAGGGATGGTCTTTTTTGTAAAAATGGCTCTTCTTTTTACAAAAGATTTACTTTGCAGCTTTTTGTTTTGTTTTTAATTGCCAGAGAGTGTGTGTGTGCTCACCAGAAAGAGAGGAAGCACCCCCAAAATGGGGCATGGACATGCCACAATCCTTTTTCCTCCATTTCTCATCTCATGAGGATTTGGGACACACACATGTGCTTGGCATGTTTTCCAGCTACCAGGTGGGTTTCAATCTGGAGTTGGCCATGTATGATCTGGTTCTCTACCCATGGAGTTTAACTGTTGTGCTAGAGGGCCAGCCCTTTGCAGTGTTTTGTTTTTAAAAACATGTTTTCTATAGTTTAACTGCTGTGCTAGAGGGCCAGCCCTTTGCAGTGTTTCGTTTTGTTTTGTTTTTAAAAACATGTTTTCTATAGTAAATTTCAAATGATTTGAACTTTTCAGAAATGCTTTTCTGGGTAAATAAAAGTATATTTTTCCCTGTCTGTCATAGATGAGAATATCCTAACGCTGCACCCCTCAGCTAATATTTTGCCTCTGTTTTAACAGCAATACCTCAGGATGAGCATTGTGAAGAAGTGACCCCAAGTGGTCAGGAGAGCAGGAGCGACCCTCATCGCAACCGCATCACTCCACTTGAGATATTTCCCACCTCTAAGCAAATATGTCACTTTTTCTAAGTAAAAGAGAAAACGATCAAGAGGATATGTTCAATACGTCATTTACTCTAGGCAAAGGAGAAAGTGAGAAGGGGATGATGTTAAATAGGTCTCATAATCTAAGTAAACGAGAAAATGATCAGGAGGAAAAGTTTGAAGACGCCTATGAAACCATCCCTGTGGCATCAACAATGAATCTAATATCTTCTTTAGAAGAATGCACAACTGGGTTGTATTTATTTCTAAATAACAGATTCTCAGATGCAATAAATCGCATTTATCCATGGTCTAAAAACAGCATATACCATGCCCTAATGTATGGTATCCTTATGGTTGTCAAGGCCATCCTGACTTTCGATCCAGAAGATATACAGATTGGAATGAACGCTGCAAAGGATGCTTTAAGAACCTGTAGCAACTTCCGGAGAAAGCCTAGGATAATGACTTTATCTCGTGTAGTGAGTAGACAGGGAATAAAGGCTATCAAAGAGGAGGAATTACATGCGGAAGTGTGCTATGCTGAGTGTCTGATCTTGAAATCATCCATCACGTTCATACAAGATGACAGCATGCTTGGCTTTCTTAAAAGCGGGATCAACGTTGGGTCAAGTTACCAAATATATAAAGACTGTCAACAAGTATTAACGTACATATATAGCGACCACAGCAAAGCTCACAGACACCTGGTAGGAGGGATAAAATTTGGACTCGGAGCGTTCAATCTGATGTTATCACTTGTGCCACCAAAGACACTTAAACTTCTCAATATCGTTGGATATTCTGGTGATAGAGACGTAGGCTTGGCTTTGCTTCATGAGAGTGCATCTGAAACCCATATAAATAATATCTTAAGTGTTTTCACTCTACTCTTTTATTACAATTATATCTACGTGGCTTTTGGTGTTGAAAACATTTCCAGTTCTGCTACAGAGGGCCTCTTCCTAGTTTACCTCCAGAAATTTCCAAACTGTGTCATACTTAAATTTTTTTATGCACGTTATAATATGCTGAAAGGAAATTTTGAACATGCGAAGTTAAAATTTCATGAGTGCATTTTTACTCAGAATGAATGGAAGCAAGTTCATCATCTCTGTTACTGGGAACTCATGTGGTGCCACATTTTTCTGCAGGATTGGAAGCATGCTTACCACTATGCCAACCTACTGTCTCTACACAGCAGGTGGTCTAAGGCCATATATGTGTACAGTAAAGCGATAACACTGGCCTTGCTTCCTTCTGGTTTTGTGAAGTCAGTAAACGAGGACATCAGCTCTCTCTTCTTAAAAGTGGATAGCTTGAGAATCAAAATTTTAGGCACTCCCATACCAATAGAAAAGTTTGTTGCTGAGAAGGGGCAGCGCTATGGTACTACGACAGGCTGGTTTACAGCACAGCCCCTTCTGGAATTTATTTATGCCTGGAGTGGTTTCCGAGTCATGAGCAAAAAAATAGAACTCATTTCAAGCTGGTTAGCGATAATTGACAAAGGGAAAGACCTTTTACAAGAAAATCCAAATGAAGAGTATGGCACGGATGACGTAAGTTTGTTAAATCTGCTGAAAGGTCTGTGTCTGAAACACTTAGGCAAATATGCCAAGGCTGAACACTACTTTAATCGTGTCATCCAAAAGGAGAAATTGTTAAAATATGACCACTATCTGGTTCCATATACTTATTATGAACTGGGAATTCTGCACTATCTAAAAGGAGATTTTGCCAGTGCAACAAGAAACCTAGACAACATAAAAAACTACAAGGACTATTCCATGGAAGCTCGATTACAGTTTAGGGCTCATATAGCCCTTGAACAAATAGCTAAAGAAAAGTGATTTAAACACAAAGCGTGATTTTGTTTAGTGTGAACAAAACATCTACAGTCAGCAAGGTGATTAGCAGGTAGAAAAATCAATTCTTTGTGGGAAAAAAATCCAAGAAGCAGCTGTTAAGAATCTAATCAGCAACAAATAAGAGAAGAATTGGTCATTACTTTTCCCTTTCCTCTTCATACCTATAAAACGAAAGGTCTCGGACTGACAAATGAAGTGACGCACATTCTTAACTTCTTTGTTCGTTCGTCTGTTTTTGTTTTGTTTTTGCTAGAGGGCATACACGCTTGCCAGAGAGACAGAGAGGGAAGAGGCCATAGCATCTTCCATGGGGAATGGTCACACCGCAATCCCTTCCCTTCCATCTCTTCCTCCTTTCCAGATTGGGGCACACATGCACATGTGCTTGGTATATTTCTCAAGCTACCAGGGTCCAGGACTCAAACCACACAGTTGGCCATGTGGGATCTGGCTGCCTTAACCACCATGCCATAGAAACTGCCCTGCAATGCACATTCTTTAAAGAGAAAAGACAAATGATGTATGTTATATATAATTTTTTTCTCTCTCTTCTATGTTGTGTGTGTGTGTGTGTATTCTCTCTCTCTCTCTCTCTTTTTTTTTGGAGAGGTTTTTGCTATAGGGCGCGTGTGCTTGCCAGAAAGACAGAGAGAAACAGAGAGATAGAAAGCGAGAAATCACCTCCCAGGGGGGATGACCAGGCAATCCCTTCTCCTCCATTCTCCTCTTGGGATCTTGGGCATGCACACACGCCCAGCGTGAGTTTAAGCCACCGAGTCCAGGACTCGAACCATGGTCGACTACATGGGAGTCCAGCGACATAGCCATTATGCTAACTGCTGGTTCCTATATTCTCTCTTCTATGTTAAGAACTTAGCAATATGACATTAGATATTTTTTTTTTTTTAGAGATTTTTGCTATAGGGCGTGTGTGGCCTGTCTCTCTGGCCATCCTGCAATCCCTTCTCCTCCAGTCTTTTCTCAGGATTTGGGGTGTGTATGCACATGCACCCAGTGTGAGTTTCAGGTTGTTGGGTCCAGGACTCGAACCACAGTGAACCATGTGGGAGTCCAGTGATGTAACCACTATGCCATCTGCTGGTCCTGATTTTTTTTTAAAGAATTATTTTATTTAGGGGCCAACAGGTAGCATGGTGGTTGGGAGCTCTGGACTCCCACCTGACTGACTGCAGTTAGAGTCCTGGACCTGGGGGCTTGCTTTCTCACTTTCTCTTTTTCTCTCTGTTGCTCTCTGATCAAATTAAAATAATGAAATAAAATTAAATAAATACAGTTAAATGAAAAAAAAAAAGAATTGTTTTATTTATTTATTTCCATTTGTTATTATTATTTTTTAATTTGACTAGAGAGACAAAGGTAGAAAGCAAGCCGCCAGGTCCCGGACTAGAACTACAGTCGGCCATGTGGGAATCCAGCACTTTTAACCAGCACACCTGCCAGCCCCCCTAGATAATATATATTTTTTTTGGGGGGAGGGGGGGGGGGTTTTTTTTTTTTTTTTTTTTTTGTTTGTTTTTGCTGTGGGGCAGGTGCGCTCACCAGAAAAACAGAGAGTGACAGAGCGACAGAAAGCAAAAAATCACCCCCCAGGGGGGATGGCCACACCTCAATCTTTTCTCCATTCTCCTGTCATTATCCTGGGCACGCATGCACATGTGCCCGGCATGAGTTTAAGCCACCAGGTCTGGGACTCAAACTGTGGTCAACTACATGGGAGTCCAGTGACATAGCCATTATGCCAACTGCTGGTCCCATGTATTAGCTTTTAAAGAAGAATATTTTATTTAACTTATTATTATTATTATTATTACTTTCCAGTTTGATCAGAGAGAAAGAGAAAGTGAGAAAGCAAGCCACTAGGTCCAAGACTTGAACTGTGGTTAGCCAAGCAGGAGTCTAGCAGCTTTAACCACCACTTCACCTGCTTTTTATGCCAGAGAAAATTTTTCTTCTTCTGTGATCAATAGTATTTTTCACCCTTTTTCATCAGGAAACTCAAATTTGGCTTTATAATTTGGCACAATATCATGAATAAAGAAGTTTCCTCCATCTACACTCACACACACACACACACTCACACTCACACCTTTTCAATATAATTGGAGGATAGATGCACTAGGTAAGAAAAAAAAAAAAAAAAGAGGCCGTTGGAAGGAAGGTTTGGTTACACCATACTCCCTATGTGTAATTCCTGAGAGTAACACTTCAATTTAGTTAAATTATTTGCATCTATCCACTGTCAGTGGGGTGATCTGAGAGTGAATAGCAACAATAGGGATGGGGTACTGTTCTACTTTCCTCAGGGACAAAAATCTGTCCCCAGTAATTTCCAAACCGTTAAGTCTGGCTGCACGTGCCCTCCTGGCAGTCACTGTTTGAAAGACAAGTAAGTTGCTTGGCTAGGTTTGGTAGTTAAAACACACCAGCGGGGCAGCAGGTGCTGTGGTGGTTGGGGTACTGGACTTCCACATAGCTGACCATAGTTTGAGTCCTGGACCCAGATCCTTGAAAGTGTGCCCAAAATCTTGGGAGGAGAATTGACAAGGAAGGATTGCTTCCATGGCCAAACCCCCAGGAAATGCTTTCTCACTTACCCTCTGTCTTCCTCCATCTCTCTCTGGTGACTACACATGTCCTAGGGCAAAAATCTAATAAAAAAAAAAATAGTCAGCGAAACACACTGTCTCTATGCTTTGGGTGTCCAAACAACCAATTAAAGCACAGTGAAGAGCTAGTATTTCAGATTTATCAATGTTTACTTTCTTTTTCTTTTTTTTCTTTTCTTTTCTTTCTTTCTTTCTTTTTTTAGGTTTCTGCTATAGGGCATGTGTGCTAGCAGTAGAGGCACAAAGAGAGGCAGAGAGAGGGAAAAGAAAAATAATCCCCCAGGGGAATGGCCTTGCTGCAGTCCTTTCTTCATTCTCCTCTCGGGAATTTGGGCAGGCACACACATGTGCCCAGCATGGTTTTCAAGCCACCGGGTCTGGGACTTAAGCCACAGTCAGCCATATGGGAGTACAGAGCTTTAACTACCACACCACCTACTGGCCCATCAACATCTACTTTTAAAAACATTTTCCTCATAAGTTAAAAATATGCCTTTAAGTGAACTGTTAGTGTTATTTACTGTTATGTACTTAGTTTAGTGTAGAGGTTAAGAGGGCAATACTGGTCTGATTACCTAGATTTCTATTCTAGCTCTGCTACTAACTAGCTGTATGAATTTAGGACTCTCAGTTTTCTTAGCTGTAAAATAGGGATAATAATAGTACCTATCTCATGGTTTTGCTGTGTTAATTAAGAGTGACCGAATACTTTTTTTTTTTTTTTTTAGATTTTTGCTATAGAACACGTGTGCTCGCTAGAGAGAGAGTGAGGCAGAGAGACAGAAAACAAGAAATCACCTCCTGGGGGGACAACCACGTCACAATCCCTTCACCTCTATTCTCCTCTTGGGATCCTGGGCACGCACACACATGCGTTTTAAGCCGCCTGAGTTTTAAACCGCTAGGTCCAGGATTTGAATTGTGGTCAACTACGTGGGAGTCCAACAACGTAACCATTATGCCATCTACCGGTCCCCCAAATTTGTTGTAGTTATTAATAATACTGCTACTACTAAGAATAATAATACAGTTTTCTTCAGTGCAGAGTTCTTTTTTTTTTTTTTGAGAGATTTTCGCTATAGGGCGCGTGCGCTCGCCAGACAGAGACATAGAGACAGAAAGCGAGAAATCACCCCCCAGGGGGGATGGTCACGCCGCAATCCCTTCTCCTCCATTCTCCTCTCAGGATCTTGGGCACGCATGCACACGCGCCCGGCGTGAGTTCTAAGCCACTGGGTCCGGGACGCGAACCGCTGTCGACTACGTGGGAGTCCAGCAACATAGCCATTACGCTAACTGCTGGTTCCCAATGCAGTATTCTTTCTTGAAAAAAAGTGAAAGGTCCCTTTGTTACTCTTTGCCAATCAAAAATCTACCTGTTACTTGACCTTTCTGTTCTCAGTTTATATTGGTTATTCAATAAGCAACACTCTGCTTCAATTATAGTTTTGCGTTCTGTAAATTATTCCAGTTTTTTCCAATGAAGAGCAAATTATTTAGTTAATCAAATAGGTACTGAATTCCTACTCTATGCAGGCACAAACAGAGTACTGAGGCTATACTGAAAAAGTATGGTCTCTCTCCTGAGGGTCTTTCTTATTAGGGAGATGAGTTAGAAAGGCACTTAATTGGGGCGGTAATATTTAAAACACTTTCTTAAACAAATAGTGTATTTGTCCTGTTGAAAGACAAAATTAGAACAAATCTAATTTTGCAGATCTTAATTGGATTTTTTTTAATTTGCCAGAGGGTATGTGAGCTCCCAAGAGAGCAGAAAGAGAAAGAGGATGAGAAAACAATTCTCATGGGAGATGGTCACGTTGTAATCTCCATTTTTCCCTCCTTCTGGAATTTTGTGCACACACATACACCTACCTGGTGTAATTCTTTTTTTTTTTTATTTTTATAAACTGTTGTTTATTTTCCTTATCCTTCCTTATTTCCACTTTGTATAAGAGTCTGTGAAGAGCAGACTTAAGACCACTCAGTGGCCTGAGCAGTGGGGGCTGCAGACCAGTCTTCGGTGGCAGGCTGAGCACTCCAGTCTTCAGTAGGGAACTGCTGGATGGCACAGAGGGCACCTGCACACCTTCAGACCAGTCTGCGACCTCAGGCTGAGTGGCAGTAAACTCAGGACTGGAGCAGTCCATTCACCCTGACATTCCTCCTTGGTCACAGCCTTTTCAACTGCAGCCTGCTCCTCCTTTTCAATCTCTTCAGGATCTCTGTAGAAGTACAGATTAGGCATGACCTCCCACGGGTGTTTACGGGACATGGAGCCATGCATGCGCAGCACTTCCCTGGCCATCATCCAGCACATCAGACCCACCGAATGAGCTCCCTTCTTTGGATTCATACACCAGAAATCAAGTTGGTCGGAAAACAGAGAGGTCCAATAATGCTGAGGTTTAAGCGGAGCAAGAAATGGAAAAAGGCAGGAGAAAACACGAGCCATTTTTCAAATGTCAGCTCTCTTCCAAACTATTATGCATTAATATTATACTTATAGCAAGAATTACTATCAAACTCCACGCATCAGGCCAGAGACCCTTGTGGTGTTAGCGAAAAACTTGCCCCTCGTGTAGCACACTAC